CTGCCGTAGATATGAGAGAGAATGCGTCATCTGCGATAGCGTGTAGAATGCAGTCAGTCCTGGTGTTGGGGTCAGTGACTTTCCACGGGCAGAACTGAACCTTGTATTAAATGGAAAAGGTCAACAGTTTTATTGTGAGAGCATTTATTGTTAGGATGTCACTGTTTCTGCTGGACATCTTGTAGGCAGACAGTCATCAGCTGTAAGAATTAGTGATACACAATAAGTGTAGAGTTATGACCGATTCGCTTGGGTACAAGTCGAAAATCTTGTTAAAGTCAAGACAAAAAAAGAATATATATTAATGTAGCGGAGAAATGTGGAGCAGAGGGAGGGGGCAGGCAGTCAAGAGACAGCAAGTCATCCCCACTTTCGCACAAGAAGCTGTGAAGAGATGGTCTAACCAAACGCCTGTCATACCACCTACAATTCTAACAGTCTCCCCTGTTGGCAGCCTCCGTTTTCTGTCTCACCTTCAGTTCCGGCAGTTCCTGAAAAGTCTCCTCCGGATAGCGGGCGAATTTGTCGTTGCCAGCCCCGGCGCCCATTAGGTCCTCCCATCTCTTCCAAGCCCTTGTTTGGAGAAACAGTGGAAGGTCTCAAAGGACTATTGCGCTAATTGTTATTTTTCACTACTATCCTTAACATCAATTAGGCCAATAATACTATAATATTATAATATTATCCTTACTACTCTTATTATCATTATCATTTACAAAAGTACTAGTAGTAATGTCTTTGTCTTATCACTGTTATTACAGTTACTGTGAGCGTTAATGTTACCATTATTAAATCATCATTTGTGTTAGTCTAATTACAATCATTATCATTGTGTAAGTAACAATATTTCGATTATTATCTTAAAAAACAGTTATTAAACAGCAGCAATAATGAGGACAGTAAAGATGGTGATGATTATTATAACAATAACAAAATCATAATCCTGCTAATGATAATGATGATGAGAATTATTGTAATGATACTAGTGCTGCTAATATTACAATTACTACTGACAGCAACAGCATTGATGCGGATGGTGATAATAACAATAAGAATGATAATAATGATGATGATGATGATAATTATGATTATATTTTTTACCATTATCATCATAATAATAAATGATGATAATAACGATAATGATTATAAATATTATCATTGCTAGTATTATAGTAATGAAAATAATAATAATGATAAATTACGATAGAAATAAATGATAGTAGTAATGGTAATAATATCAATAATGATAAGGGTAATAATCATATCAATAGATGATCATAATAATTATATCAATGCTAATATTGTTAGTAAGATGTTAACGTCAGAAAATAATTATGGGAAGAATATTACATAATAATTACTACTAATGATGATGGCAGTCAGGATAATAACAACCATTATCGCTGTAACAGTGATTTTTGGGGTAATAATGATAACAATGATGATTATCATTATTATCAATAACATAATTTTTTCATATCACTCACCCACAAGCGCACGCGTACACATACATATCCACGCACATACACATATAGATATATACGTGTGTGTGTGTGTGTGTGATCTGTCATTGAAAAGTGTACCGAAGCCCTTAAAAAAAAAGTGCCAGAAAACTCACAGAAGGATCTCCTTTCTGGTGAGGAAAGTGAGGTCCTCATACTCCTGCAGTTCCTCCTCTGTGAAAGCGCTGCTCCTGTTCCCCATCCTGCCTCTCGCGGCTTCTCTCGTTCTCCTTCCCTTTCACTCTCCTTCGGTTGGGTGAGGGGGACGAGTGGCTGGATTTTGCAGTGCTCTGGCGTGAGGAAATCCTGGCTTGTCGAGAGCTCCCTCACTCGCCCTTCAGATGCTGTCTAGAGTGAGTAAGAGTGAATCTAGTGAGTAAGAATGAGTCTAGAGAGTAAAGAGTCTAAGAGTAAGAGTAAGTCTAGTGAGTAAGACTGGGTTTAGTGAATAACAGCTGGAACTCACCGTAAGATCCATCATGACAAATCTTTATTAACGCAATTCTATCAATGATATCTATATCTATCTATCTATATCTATATATATATATATATATATATATATAATATATATATATATATATATATATATATATATATATATATATATATATATGGCATAAAGAGTTTTGTTCCCATAGTCAAAATATAACACCTAAAACCACATGCGACACACAGAATTTCTTTTAATTCTATCATCTGCACTTGATATACAAAATAGGATTGAAAACGGCAAGCACACTTCAACACAAAAAGATATATTTGAAGGAGTCTCTTTTGGGAAACGGATAATTCCTTTGATAAAACAGCAGGAAATCGCGTCCTGTCTTATCTGCATTCCCTTAAATACAACCAAAGAGCATAGTTCATCAAAAGCCTCCTGCATGAGACAGCACGCAATGCAGATTATTTTTGTTTTGTTTTTCGGCAAACTCAGCTTAAATCCCGATCCCTTGCAACCTGGCATTATTTCCTTTCCCACACTGTTGCAGCAGACG